CTCTCATCGCCCCAACGCATCGCCCTTTGCCTGAACAGTGACACTGGTTTGTGCATTAGCGCGACAGATGCACTGCGAGAACGTAGGCTCAACAGAAGCTTCCCTGATATGAACATGGCAGCAAGACCAGGTCTAGCCACTGATGGAAGGGAATGACGGAAATGAATAACCAGAGCCAGATAGAAAACCAAACGAATATTCAATGGAAATTGATTCCTTCATGTAAAGAAACACTAACTGCAGGCTACTCTGGAGTAATTATTTTACCCTCTATAAATCTGTGTGTGGTCAGGAAATTAATTGTTCCTGGAACAGTTCTTGTCTTTCTGCAGAGTACAGAATATGTGGCTTACAAAACACGTCTGCCATAAGCAGCTAAACACAAACACAGAAGTGACAGCGTAGAACAAACTAGCCTTTGAAACCGACTGCTAAAGAATGATGTGTACAGAGTTCAGTCTGAAATGGTTGATGTTGTGGACAGCAACAGAGAAAAGCATGGAGAAGCTTTGGGCAGAGGCAGAATTTATGTCCCTGAGAAAGCCCAACTCCTCTGAGACGTTATCTGAGCCCTCGCCGGCTAGCACGCCAAGGCGGGCCGAGGACCATGATACGAACCATGCTGACGTTGGCCCCTGCGTTGGGCAGCCAGTTTGTGGCTGCACAGAGGGACAAGCATCAACCTTGCTTCAGCATCCCTGCCTAGGTGGATGGCTTGTGGGTGCAGATTTAAACCCCCCAAACCTATCCTAAAGGCTTAAGGTAGGATTAATCTGCTCTTTCTACCCCAAAATTTAGGTATTGGAGCGCTGTGGACCCTCTTTGCAGCCAGCAAAAGGAACAGGTACCTTGAGAAGACTATTCTTGCCTCAAGAGGTCTCCAACACAAGGTAAACAGCCCTTGAAAAGGCTTCTTGTTCTCCCAGTTGTAAGGACGTGGCTGGTTTGAGACACACACGTTAGGATCAGTGAACCCCCTCCTTCAAGATAAGCTCTTTCCATTAACACCCTCCGTTTCTCCCGCCCAACCTCAGCAGACTTCTCCTCCTCTCCCTTTCAGAGCCGGTCCTGCAGCCACCCTCACTCATCCGTGCCTCGGGAAGCTGCTGCGGCCTTGAGAGAGGAGACAGCAACAAAAGCAGGCAGGAGAAACAAGGAAAGAGCGACGACATCTCATAAAGAGCAGCTCGGCAGGGGAGCCAGGGAAGACGAGCGAACTGAGGGATGGATGACACAGGGCAAAGACAAATTCTGCTGCTCCTCCAGGACTCCCAGGCAGAGGGGAAATAAAACAGCACCATTAAATTAGTTGAGTTGCTGCTAACAAGTTACCGCTGAGGTTTTCCACTGTTGGGAGACGATGCTCCTTAGTGAATGGAAAAGGAAGCAGCATTATTGCAAAGGGAAATCGGTTTATACTTGTAATGTAGCACTTTCCAGCCGGACGCTTCTGGGACCTGCTGTTTTCCTCCAAATCTTGATTTGATAAAGTGAGGAAATAAATGTATTATAGCAAAAGACAATTCAGTGACAATGTAGCAACCGATTTCCATTTTGGTGGCTTTTGAGGGTATCTAACAACTTTCAGACAGCCATAAAATGTTTCTACAGCTATCCCTGTGGCTTCAGTGAAACAGAGCCAGGACCCTGAGCACTGAAGCAGAACTAGCCTGAAGGACTGCGGCAAAACTCCTCCCGCAGGTTCAGCGAGGAGAAGGGGCAGCTGAGAAATACCCTACCTGAAGTGGGCTCCCAGGTTGAGCTCCGGAGCAAAGGGTCTGTCGGTAACAATCGTGGTGCCGATGCCAACAGCCTGGACAGGGACCATGTAGGAATGGCTGTTCTCTATGAACACAGTCAGCTCGTCCTTGAGTTTCTCGGTGTCATCCAAGTTGGCTATGACAGTCACAGACACCTCGGTCTCGGGGGGGATCACACCTCTGCTGGGTTCAATCCTCCAGCGCGAGCGTTTGCCAGCCTGTAAGAGAAGCCAAACACGAACTTCAGATGGGAGCCAGGGGCCCTGGTCTCCTGTGGGGTGCAGGAAAAGGCAGGACGAAAGACGTGACGGTATAAAGCATAAAGGCTTAGTTCCCCGAAATCTAAGCTAGGGCATCTGGAAGCAGCAACTATGCCGGAGCTCATACAACC